AAAAGGTGTCAGACTCAAGCACCCACCAAAATTATAATATAATTAAATACATAGAATTTTCAGTTCAGTATTTAAAAAAAAAATTTATTTCGACTTTTTAAAAAGTGGGTTCAAATTTTAAAAATACTAATTTTGAAATTATTTCCCATCAATGAAAAGTTCATCTCAAATTTTTTTCAACTCTTACATATGATTCTATCATTGTGGTCTCATTTTATTTTTATTTATTTTTATCGTACACAAAACGAGTGGAAAGTTTTTAAAGGCACCCATTATTTCTCATTTTGGCCCAAACCAATTTTGACAACTAGACAGTGAGTTGTTTTTGGTAAAGCTTTTTTTGAGGTAATATTTTCTATCAGATTAATCATCTAATATATATTTATCAGAGTGCGCAGGGGATAGCTTACATATAACAAATTTCGAGGACGAAATTTTAAAAAGAGGGAAGATTGTAACAATCTAGATTTTTAATTATTCTGTAAAATTTATATTAATATTATTTAATCACAGTTAGGGAAAATATATAATTTATTATATATTATTGTGTGTAATTTTGTAAAATAATATAATTATTAAAAATTTAGGGGTCAAAAGATAAATAAATAATTAAGTTTAGATAAGCTTCAATTAATTTAGATAAGTTCAAATTAATGGAGATTAATAAGAAAGTGACACGTGGCAGTTGGCTTGGGGCTCACGAATTGAATTTGTATAAATAGGGAGAAGTTGACTCCGTAAGGGAGAAGGAAAGAAAGGAAAAGTAAGAGAGAAAGTAGAGAAAAGAGAGAAAAAGAGAAAAAAATAATGGAAGTTGAAAGGGTCTTTGGTGGTGGAAAGAAAGAGTGAGGTATTAAAGTTAAGGTGAGTTATATTACACTTTGAGTTACCAAAATGTATTTTACATATGTTTTGACTTACCAAAATCTATTTTATACAAATTATGTTTTATTAGTATATTAATAAACATTATATTTTATAAAGATTTCAGTTACGTGATTTTATTTTCTGAACCCTATTTGCTTAAAAGGCAAACCATGGATATGCTTGTTTTACTTTTAAAGAATATTTGACTATGACCTTATAAACAATTATGTTTTATAACTACCACCACGGGAGTCCCACGCCTTGGGGGACTTAAATAACCATTGGCCCATGCTTGACTACTTTGTGGTCCCCTGACCCCTGTTCTGATTGCCACTCCAGTGACCCCTGTTTGTCATAGATCCATTGACCCCTGTAGTGATTGTCACTTAGTGAACCCTGTTTTGTTCCATTATGTACCGTAGTTATAGTTGTTTACGTAATTTATGTAGTATATGTCAAATGATTTCCGTATTATATGTTAAATGATCTCCGTATTATATATGATGCATTTTAATATCAAACTCTTTTTAGCCAATAATTATCCATGGTGAATTTTATGCCCTTATATTCTTAGTATAATATTTCTCACTCTGCCATGTGCTTATAGTTATTTACCAATTTTCAGGAAACAATGCAATTCAGGAATAGCTTTTGAAAAGTCTTAGATGCGAGGCTGCCGATTAGACACACACAACACTTTTATGATATTTTTCTATGTAAATATCGACCTTTTTGGTCAATATATTTTGTAATAAAAATAGAAGCTCCAATGATTATTTTGGTACCCTTATTTAAATATTACTTCCGCTCGGGTTATTTGATTTGTTTATGATTTGGCCGGAAGTAACTTCACTTACTGGCCATCATGATGCTTAACCCTTGAGTACGGAGAGCGAGTCATGACAAATACCTCCTTCAAGACTTAATTCCAACTAATTTATGAGAAATTGAGAGCTTACTAGTGATTTACTCACCTTAAATGTGAACTTCTTAGTTTTCCTCTAGCAAGTTCTTGAATTCCCAAACTTGCTTAATCTCTCTCTCTCTCTCTCTCTCTCTCTCTCTCTCTCTCTCTCTCTCTCTTCAACTTCTCCCTAGGAAATGTGTAGGGTTCTTCCACTAAGTCTCCCAAGGTCTCACATAAAAAATATCTTATATTACTAAGGCTCTTTATTTGAGTTAATGGGCCAGATTACATCAATTATTTCATTACGAATCAGATTTTTACAAAAGTTAATATTATCTCTTAAAAGTTATGCTAATCATAGATCCGAAATTAGTTTTAGATTATCGCGACCCTAAGGCTTCCAATTTCCAATCCAATTGCCTTAATTTAACAGATTGTCCAATAATTCACAAATATACTACCATAATTAAATAATTCACACGTATAAACATAACTCTGCATGGAATTTCACATTAAACATGGAATTTCTCATAGAACTAGGGATATAAGGCATGTAAGAGGGTCAGGTTATTACAAAAACAGTGACGAAACAGTGTTGTGGAACAAAGAATGGTGTATTGATGAAACAGAAGAGAGATGCTATAATGTCACTGTGTACGAGCAATGGCCAGGATAAAAGATAAGCTTGGATTCAACACCTAAGGTCTGATACCATGTTAAAATGGTTGAAAGAAATATGAGAATTATGTATCTGTATTATATTGAATTAAATTGAATACAATAGGAGAGCCTGTATTTATAAGCTGAACATAAACCTAGATAAGTATAGACGGAGACAGAGAGACATAGAGATACAAGGAGATAGAGATAAGGTATATCTATAATACAAGGAGATAAATATAAATCTAAATCTAATATATACATTAACCGTTGTTAACAAATTAGTTGGATTGGAGGAAATCGCTATAGACAATATTATGGGAAAATACTTAGATGATGTCATTTAACAAATTAGTTTGAGGGAACCACAAATGTTTTGGCAAAGAAATTTTAAATGTTAAATATATTTGCGGTGGTTAGGCAAAAAGTCACTATAAAAGAATGGCAGCTCACCTATCACTGATTAAATTGGATTTTTGTCGCATAAGACACACCCTTTTACTGGTGGATCAAATTAAACATTGTTAATAATTAATTTTAATAACACTTTGTGAACTCTGTATAATATTTCTATATAGTTATTCTATTTTTTAATTTAGAAACCAACTTTGGGTGAACATATAATGTCTAAAAAGAGGATAAATGTATATCGATAGTTAAGGACACATTCAACAACATTGGAAGCTTTTGGGGTACTGTTCTAAGCTTGGATGACGATATTTGCCAACCAAAGTCCTTCTCCCATACCAGAATCAGAGTGGCTACATCTTCTATGGAGATTATTTACAAAAATATATTTTTGGAGTGTAAGGGTAAACTTTATCCCATTCTTGTGTGTGGAGAACATTTAGCAGATTGTAGCATCATGAAGCACAGTGGTTTGGAAGAGTGCAGCTCCAACGAAATCTGTGGCAGTGGTGTGGAAAGAACAATTCCAGAGGGATGCTACAGGGAGGAGGAGGGAAAAAGTGTGATGAAGGTTAATACAGTTGTTGAGGAGTCAAAGTGTAATGGAGTTTTCAGCGGAGAAGAGGAAGCTTGTTCCAAGGAGGTAGAGCAGAGGACATGGCCTAGTGATTGTCATTTGGGAGAGGAGGTTAACACAGTTGTCGAGGAGACCGTGATAGAGGAGTCAATACACAGCTCGAAAATTAATGTTGAGCAAGCTTTTACTCTTGGTTTTCCTAGGAGCTTTAGTGGATCTAGAGATAGGCATGGTCATGGCATTAATCTTGAAGTGGATTTGGCCCAAGCACTGAGTATGAACTTAAATGGGAAGGGTTTTCTGAGCGTAAATCATTCAGGCTCAGGGAGGCAACTTGCATCTGCCCTAAACTCTTGCGGAATGAGAAGAAAAAAAGAAAGAAGAAGGTTCAGCTAGAGGGGTTCTCCAGTTTTGCTAGACTTCATGGGCATAAAGCTGCAACAGTCAGGAAGCACACCTCTAAGTCTGTCATCTTCAGACCAGCAGCAGTTGCGATAGCTCGTTTAGATCTGTTTAACGGTGTTACTAGCGCAAGCAATCTTCTCCTCAATGAAGCTAAAGCCACTTTACATTTGGGTAAATCTCTTGGCATTAATTTCAATGGAAAAGAAGAGGATATTCTGAATAAGATTATTGAGTTAGAGTTACAGGACATAGAGAGGTCCAAATAGGAGGGTTAGGTCTAAGAAGGAAGTAGAATGGCAACAAGTAAGAAACATTGGAGCATGTAGTGAGTTTTGTGCTTTTGTTAGATAGCCTTTGGGTGGTGGCATCAAGTTGATAAGCTAGTTTTTGGGTGGCGGTATTTAGTTAGATAATGTTGGTTTCTCACCAACACCATGCTTGGTTTCCTTTTTCTCCCTTTTTCTTTCTCATCCTTATTGATGTATTCCTATATGTAATGTATGGTTTCATCATCAATAAAGATTTTCTTTGCTGATAAAAAAAAAAAAAAACTATGTTACTAATTTCAATTTAGCTCGAACATTCTCTCTTCAAGTGTATATTTTTATGAAAAACTAAAGCGCATAAACAAAAGGTAGACATTAAAACATTTTTCAAAGGCCTTGTTTGAGAACTCAAGTTTGAGGCTAAAATAGTCTCAAACGCTAAAAAAACCAAATAGTTTCAAATAGTACCCTAAATCAATAATTTACATTTTAAAAAAAGCAATTCGGCGGGTAGCCTACACTGTCACGTTGACAGTGTAGGCACAGACCGTCTCATTGTCGGTAAATGATAATTTTGCCCCTTTAAACCAATTTTGAAAAAAGTGAGATTAGGGACAAATTTGTCATTTTAACCTCAAACATCATTTCAAACATATTTTTCAATATAATAATCAAACAAAAAATTCAATCCAACTTCCAAAACATAAAAACTAAAATAGCATATTAAAATGACCAAATAGCTAAAAAGCTAAAAAAGTAACCAAAAAGCCAAAAAAGTCGAGGGCCTGAACTAAAACTTAATATAGTTCAGGGGACCAAAATGCAATATACTAATAAAATTACAAAAAACAGATGGGACGAACACATTATACAGTCATCAAAATATCAGGGAGAAAAACTCAAGTTATTGCTTAAGACATCCTTGTTCTCATTTTCTCTGATTCCAAGCCGGCACAGGTTTTTTTTTTTATTTTTAATCTAGTTCTTTCTCCTAGATTTCAATATACTTCGCAAATTTTGCCTTTAACCCCTCAAATTTGCTCAAGGTAATTTTATTTTCCGCTTTTAAATTTTGTTTCTCTTTTGATTTTGTATAAATATATGTATAGGCCTTGTTGTCATATTTTACGGCTTTTGAGGTTTTAATCATGTTTGGATCTTTAGTTTTATTTATTTATTTATTTTATGATTATTTTTTTGATTAGTTTGGATCTTTAGTTGTAATGTTGTGTTATGATTTATTTTGATTTTAATGGGATATGAATTTTTTGATAATTGGACATTACTTTTCTGTTTATGAAACTGCGAATTTGGGTATGGATTTGTGAAAATAAAAATCACTACAAAAATTTTAAATCCAAACAAAACCTAAAGGATTTGGGGATTATAAATTCCTTGTTTTCCACTGTTGGTGCTATCTCTATTTCTTCCCCTCAACACTAAAAAAGTGATCGCTTTTATTTATTTTTTTTTATCTTATTTTATTATTTTTAAAAATTTTAATCATAAAATAATAATAATAATAATAAATCTGCAGTGCATAGTGCAAAATTGTCTCGCTTACATCAAGTTTTGATGACGTAGTAGATAGAAAAACTTCTCCCACTTTTTTATGGAGAGCTTGATTTTTACGACTTAACCATGTCACAAATATAGAGGCGGATGGCAATTGTTATTGTGCGTGCTAGATACGCAGGGGTGTATTTAGCCACCAGCCCGCGACTCACTCAAAGCCTATCCGTGATCTGGTGTGGCCCAGTTTGGTTAGGCCCGTCTAGGCTTGGGCCCAAACTTAACCGAAACCTTGGGCCTAGGCCATTTGTTTCAAAACTCGACCTAAAGCCTAGTCCATTAGCTTATTCAAGACTTACTCAATACTTGGCCCGTCAGGCCTATCCAAAGCTTAGCGTCATTTTTAGTGAAAAAAATAAAATTTTAGTGAAAAAAATAAAAAAAAAATAAAAAAAAAATCCTAGGCTTGCCCCAAGCGCGAGACTAGGCCCAGGCTCATTGGCCCGTCCCGAGGCTCGAACCACTACCTTGCTCGAGGCTCAAATATCCCCTAAACTTGGGCCTAAGTTTTTGGCATGTGGCCTAGCTTGGCCTGGCCTGAATTTTGGTGAGAGCTCACACGACTTGACACTGCACAGGCCCAAGCCCGAGCTCAGGCCTTAATGGATTTGGCTGGGCTAGACCAAATTTACACCCCTATAGATACGGGCACTGAATACTTATTTTTCTTCATCTTTTTTATTTTTTTATATTTATTTTCTATCTTTTATGTTATCCATTAGTAACATGCGTTTTGATTGTAGCTCAAGTAGAACCTTGGCCTTGCTTGGGCAAATTGTTAGTTTTCTGAAAGCTATGTCCAACATCAATAACGCAAGTGATCATATCTCTACTCACGACCAAGATTCATCTTCACAGGTACATTGGTTCAACCATGAGATTTACAAATATATATAGAGTTACAAATTAATTGATTGTTGTTTTAACTCTGAATTTGATTTTGTCCTCCACAGGCTTCAGCTGAGGTAGATCTAGAACTTAGGCTTGGACCATGTACTGGTAATTTACAAGACTTTACACCTGAGAAATCATATTACATTGTGTTTTATGTGTTTCATATTATTTTCTTCTTTTAAATTTTAATTTTGTCAATTTCATTACTCAAGTTTGCAAATTGAGTCAAATGGGTGTCATTTTAAACGGTCATCTAAATTATTGATGGAATGATATTAAATCACAGAAACAATTCCTAAAGTTTATGTTTTGTGTTAATGAATTAAAGTTTTAGAACAAAAATTTAGGCAGAAAATCACTTTTTAGACACAAAATATCTTTGTTGTCAAAACTGTGCATTTTTAGGAATGAAATTGGGCATTTAGTATACTATGCTTTTGGGACCAAAATTTGTCTAAAAAAGTAAACATTTTAGTACGAATTGATTTTTGTGTATTTTTTAGTGACATTTTTCAAAATTGTCTCCAAATGTCTTTCATTTTTTATTTTATTTTTCTTTTCCGAAAAACTCGCATTAATATTGAAATTTGTCCCGCAATATTTTTTACAAAACAATTTGTATTTTGAGAATGAGAAAGCTTTATCCCTAAAATCCTTATATCTTGTAGTGTTACTTTGATCTCCAAAATTTTAATTTTGTCAATTTTATTCCTAAGCAATGTAAGGCTATTTTTGAAATCTGGAAAGTTAATGAGAATCCCATTACTAAGATTCTCTAGTTATCCAAAAACTTGGTTGGGATTAGGGGTGTAAAAATGGCCCGCGACCCGTGGGTGGCTCAAAGCGCCCGCCGCGGCCCGTGGTTGGCCCAACCTGGTTAGGCTTGAGCTAGAGCTTAGCCCGAGACCTTGGGCCTGGGCCATCATTTTGAAGCCCAATTCGGCCCATCGGCTTGCTCAAGGTTCACTCAAAGCCCGACTCGAGGCCTGACCCACTTGAGACCCAGTGTTATTTTTAATGGAAAAAAAAAATGTTCAGGCTTGCCCAGGCCTGGCCCAAGCTCGAGCGTAGGCCTAGGCCCGCCGTCCCGGCCTGCCCAAAGCCCCAAATACCCCCTGGACCTGGGCCTAATTTTCTGGCCCGTGAGCAAGCCCAACCTGGCCTGGCTCGAATTTTGACAGGAGCCTGTGTTGCCCGACATGGGCCGGGCCAAATTTACACCCGTAGTTGGGATTATCATAAGTATTAGAATCTTATTAGGGACCATAAGTGTATTTTATTACCATTTGTTCATTGGAATTAGATCAAATTTGACTAAAATTGAAATTTTCATAAATGAAATTGGTAAAATTGAGTTTTTGATGACCAAATGATACGAAATGCATAATTTAAGAATTGTATTTGTATGTTATATGTCTAACATATCATGGTTGTATCAATGTATAATGGAGGTTCTACCAACCAAGGCCAGTCCCCCAATGCCATAGCAAAACATCGACAAGAACCAAATAATTCACAGGTCTCATCACATTCTTAGTTTTCATTTTTGTTTTTTGTTTTTTTTCCTGAAAAAATGAAAGTTTAAATGAGCAGTGTCATCAATTTGTGAAATGTTTGTAGTGATTAGTTAAATGTCCATGACTTGTAGGAAAATGTTGGATGTCCGTCAAGTAACCAGGAGAAACCAGTGAAAAGGGAAATGAATCTCACTTGCTCTATATGCTTGGATGCATTACAACAAGAAGCATGTACAACATGTGGACATATTTTCTGCATGCCATGCATTATCGCAGCAGTTGTAAACCAAGGAAGATGCCCTACTTGCCGGAAAGCGATTTACTGTCGTGGCATTCGTCGAATCTATCTTCCCAAAATGAAGTCTTAATCCAAAATCAGACAAAATCCCAATACATATCAGATATATTTAAAACCCATGTTGGGAGTATGAGATGCTTATATTGTTTTTGTAATTTCTAATATGAAGTTTAGTTTTATTAGTCTAATGCTATGTATGGGATGATTCAAGCCTAATTTTTGGAACCTTGCCAAACTCTTTTCAAAGCATAGACAAAACATTTATGAAATAACTTTATTTTCTGAGTTCATAAGGTTTATTATATCACATTAATAGTCCTAAATATAGACACAAATGTGTCATGACAAAGATTTATGATCCTAATACTACTTATGGTTGTATTGGTTAACCTTTTCAAAATACATTTTATGTAGTCTTGGCTAAACAAATGATGATGTAAACATCATCATCAAATTTTCATTTATTTTGAGTAGTACAATTTTTCATTTTCCCTTGGTTTGATTCTTTCCTTCTTTTATTAGATGATTTCTATCATTTTTATGTTAGCACAATTTTAGATTCATAATTTATATTATTTTCATTTCTTTGAATCTAAATTCAACATGTGATCATTTTTGTTTCAATTGTAATACTGGACATGGTAATAAAAGGAAGTGGCAAAGAAAAAAAAAAAGAAAAGAAAATTGCAGCTTCTCATGTTTTAGGGTTTCTGACCCATGTTCATAAATAATTAATGATCTAAAATTAGAATTCATGGCTAGAGCATCAAATAAGTGATTTTGACAATGAGATTAATGTTGATATTAGAAGATATACCATGTGTCCTTTGGAATTGGGGGCAGTTTGTCCCAAATATATTTTGCTAATCCAAATCATTCATATTGTAGGGTTCATCGAATATATCATTCATATGCAAAAAAAACAGGTTAATTGAACATCTATAACCTTATAACAAGACCATATTTATTTTTTAAAAATAAACAGTTAATATGATTTTGAATTTTTTTTTAAAAAACATGAGGACTTGATCATGGGACTACATATGTCCAATTAACTCAATTTTTATTTTTTATTTTTTTTTATGAATGATATATTTGACGAACCCTATAATATAAATAATTCAGATTGTCGAAATAAGTCCGGAAACAACTCCCAATGAGTCTCACAATAGGTCTATTGTGCCATAACTAGATTATAACTAGAAGATGATTGTCAAATCTAAAATGTGAAAATTTATTTTGGAAGCTTGATGTGGTAACAACTCTGTGGGAGATACTACATATAGGAACAAACTGTTAAAAAACATTAATGTGTGTACTCCACAGGCTTCAGCTGAAGTAGATCTAGAACTTCGGCTTGGACCTTGTAATGGTAATTTGCATCACTTTGCACTAGAGAAACCATATTACATTCTGTCGTATGTGTTTAGTATCATTTTAATTTATTAAATTTTAATTTTGTCAATTCATTACTGAAGTTTTTAAATTGAGTCAAATGGGTCTAATTTTAAACTGTAATCTAAATTATTAATTGATGATATTAAAAATCACTTATAGTTTTTAAAGTTTGTGTTTTGTGTCAATGAATTAAAGTTTTTAAAAATAAAAATTGAAGAATGAAATTACTTATAAGGACAAATGTATTTGTTATCAAAACTATCACCGTTATAATTTTAATGTCAAATCAGACATTAGTAATGAATTATTATTATTATGAGATCAACCCTTTCATCTAAAAAAGTAAACATTTTGGCATGAATTGATTTTTGTCCCTAAAAGTGCATTTATTTGCGATATTTTTAACATTTTGTAGCGTTTTTCTTTTCTTTTTTCTTTTTATTTTTGTTTTTATAACTTTTCCGACTGGCCATTTTGTGACCTATTCACATAATGATTGAAATTGGACTCCTAATATTTTTTACAACACAATTTTCACTTTTAGGAACGAAAAAGTTAGTGCCACCTTGATCTCCAAACTTTAATTTTGTCAATTTTGTTTCCAAGCAATCTAGCTGCAACTTTTACAACTCGTATGACTCTTGTCCGGGAGTCACCTTGTGATTCCTGTCCCCTCTGTCTGGAACCCAATAGTCTTTCCTCCTCTTTCTGGATGGTAATCTTAACACGAGTTGCCGCCTCAACTAGACGGTCGTACTCTTGAATCATTGAACCGACGACCTTTATCTTTGTTAGTCATAGCATGAATAACATGAATTTTGATGATTTCTCTGTTTATGTTTTAATTTTGTTTTTAAGAGTTAAATTGATTGAAATCTCATAATTAATTTAACATCATAATTCATTCTCTCTTTGACTCATTCATGTTCATTAGAGACCCAAATTGAAGCTTAAACAAACAATGAACCAAGCAGCATAACACATCAGCACAGAGCAATAAGAAAAGGAGGTCGATCCACGACTGAGTGGTCGACTAGTCAGTTGACAGGGTGGACGACTGGTCAGTGCAAGTTTTGCCTAGATTTTAGAAACAGAAAGCTTGTCTACCGTGGCCATCACCTTCACGATTAGAGGGACGATTGGGAGTGCATGACCACCTAGTTCAAAAGTTCACTTTGGACATGCAGGTGGACAACCACTTGGTGTGAATCAGTTTTGCAACAGCTAGTTTTCAAATTCAACTTCTCAAGGGCTATCTAATCCATACCCGTTCTTCAACGGGAAAAACTCACATGGTCAGAAAACATTTTCTGAATAATGCTTTATCGATGATCACTATCACTAGCTAAAAGAAAAGAATGGGCCTTGTTAGATTGAACATAGCACTCACCTCTAATGCAACAACAAGCCAAAAACATTTTCGCATCCTTCATCAATCTCACATTCTCCATTCTCTAAGTAGCTGAATAGTTCTTCGTATTTGTTTCATCCTTCTTCAGAAAGTATTTACTAAGTCTTAGCCTTAACCTTATCTACCTTTGAGAGGTTTTTAGAAAAATCAGAGAGACATGAGCTAGGAAATTTTTGTTGATTCTATCATCAATCTCAAACTCATCCTTAGAGTTATCTAAAATATTTTCTTTTCTTGATTATTTCATTTTCTTCAGAAAATATACGTTGAGCTTTAGCATTATGCTTATTTGGCTTTGAAAGGTTTTACAGAAAAATTCGATATTCAATATTTTATATCTACTTGAGAGAGGTAATTCTTGTAGCTTTCCTTGAAAGAAAAAACCTTCATCTTGTAGGAGGTCACTAGCATTGCTGTAAAGCTAAAAAATCTTTGGAGGATTGCTCCATGTGTATGAGGTTACTAGTACCCTTATGAAACTAGAAAATCTTAGATGCATTGCTCCATGTGTATGAGGTTGCTAGCACCCCTGTGAAGCTAGAAGATTAGTGAAAAATCTCAAATGAAGTTTGAGGAGTGGATGTAGGCTTGGTTGAAACCAAACCACTATAAATCTTGTTCGCATTCTCTTCCTCAGCTCTTTAATTTGCTTTAATTGTGCACTGCTATATTCATATGATATTTTTGGGTATAATTTGTTATTAATTTATCTGATATTATTGTGATAACTATTTGTTATTCCTGTAGTACTTCTTGTTTATTTTTATTGGGTAATGATTAAATTTTAAATTGTAGAAACCCAATTCACCTCACTCTTAGGTTGCCTTTTGGGTAATAATTGGTATCAGAGCTTATGCTCTTGCTTAGATTTAACAATCTTAGAGTTTTCGATCTATGGCAACCACATCTAGTACTTACTTTGTCGTAGGTCAAGCAACCAATAGGCCTCCTTTGTTTGATGATAGCAATTATAATCATTGGAAGGAAAAAAATGACTTTGTATCTTCAATTTACTAATTATGTTTTGTGGCTCATTATTACAAAGGGCCCTAAAATCCTTACCAAAGTAGTAAATAGGATTAGAGTGTCCAAGACTGAAGAAGAATATGATGAGTATGACTATGACTATTACAAGCTAATGCTAAAGCCAAAGCCAAACTCATCCTTGTGTATGGATTAGATGTAAAGGAGTACAATAGGATTTCTGATTGTTATACAACCATAGAGATTTAAAACTTGAAATTACCTATGAAGGAACTAGTCAAACAAAAAAGTCATGTATTGATATGCTTATTCATGATTATGAGCTCTCTAAGAAGGAATTCTTTGAATCTATTTCTGAGATGTTTCTAGATTTACCAATATTATTAATGCTCTAAAATCTCTTGGTAAATCTTATACTAATGTTGAGTTTATGAGAAAAATTCTTAGGTCCTTGCCAAAGATTTGGGAGCCAAAAGTAACTGCTATTCAAGAAGCATATGATCTAACAAGATTAAGTATTGACGAACTTTTGGGATCACTCATAGCTCATGAATTTTCAATGATGGATGTAAGCAAAAAGAAAATTAAAGCTATTTGGGAAGAAGACGATGAAAGTTGCTTTGACGAGAAAGGCAACAACAATGGCGCATCTCATCTATGCTTAATGGCAAAAGAATATGATGAGGTAACCTCTAACTATGAAGAACTTGAAAGTGTATTTAAAGAACTTCATGATGAATTTAGAAAAGTTTGTGTTAAAAATATTGTGTTAAAGAAATTAATTACTTCTTTATCAACTGATATGGATGTATTGAAGATAGAAAATTCTACTTTGAAAATTGACTTTACATCTATCTCTCATGAGAGAAATGTTTTGAAAAACAGAGTTGAGGATTTGAACAGAACACTTTAGAATTTTATAAAAGAAAGAGAAAATCTCAACAAATTTTTTGAAAATCAAAGATGTGTTTTTGATAAAGCAAGCATTGGATATGATCCTATGAAGAAACAAAAGAACCTCAAAACTATTTTTGAAAAAGCTCCTCCTAAGCTACTTATGAGATGAAATGTTCTTGAGGCTAATCCCCATGGACCCAAGAAAGTATGGGTACCAAGAAAGAAATCAATTCATTCTGTAGCTGAAATATCAAAGAACACCAAAAGACTTGGAGAAAAGATGCACATCAAGAGTATTCAATTTTGAGAGCAAAATCAGTCCCTCTATGAAGACAAATGATATAATGAGAACCACTAAGATAAACATTAGAGGTAATGTATGGATGATGATTCCAAAGTGGTAAATGAAGGTATAACCTCTAACACACCCTAAGATTAACTTCTATATTCTTTGAGGTGTGATTTATGTGCAATAGGTTGAGTTTGATCATTACTTTCATGAAACCTAATTGTGCTAAGTTTGATTAGTCATGTACTGTTGTACCATGATAACTTGTCTCATTTCAAACCATCATTGAGGTCAAATTTGAGATTT